TTTGTAAAGGGGGGGGGGGTGGGGGTGGGGCACAACATATTCAGAATAGGTGGGAGCGGTAATTTCAATATACGGTATGCCTTGAAATTTTAAATTTTAGTGGAAAAAAGGGGGTGGGGTGGAAAAGACCACAATTGACGGTCTCTTTGTGTAATTTTCAATTCACCGAAGAGGAAAGCAATTAGATAGGCCTAGGCCTATATATATTTCTTCGGAATTTTGTGGTGAGTTTCACACCAAAGAAAACAAATGAACAGCTAATTGGTGTATTAAGCTCTTTTACACAGTCATTTTCTTAACGCGGTCCTGGTCAATGGCCGAATTCGACTGGTCTTTCTTCGTAAACAACGCCCACACATGCGCAGCGGTAAAATCCTACTTAACGAAGACCATCATTCGAATAGAAATCTTGTAAATACTCGACAAAACAAAATGGCTGCATAGTTACCGCGGTACAAGCTGCGTAGTCAAGATTGCTTCAGCTTGTGGCAGTATGGGTTTTTCGTTAAAAAAAAAATATTTTCACCCAGTTTTTAAATTCTGTTCGCCTACAATTATTTTTTGACTTCATGTGGGTAAATATTATAATTATTATTTTCTGAAATTTAATCTAAATAATATTAACGCAAATGCTGTTTCTAAACTCACCAATCGACCATGTTTGTTTTGGTCACGTGGATAACTTAACGCTGATTAACGCACTCTGGTTTACGTTAATTTTCGTTGTCTATGAAGTCTATTTTATTACGAACCAGTCAAATGAAAATAATAATCAACGAAAAATCGTAGTCAGAGAAATGAATACGCCCAATGTTTCGTGTCAGATTTGTAATAGGCCTAGATAAACAAAATGAAAAATTCCTTTTATATTTGAGTTTAAAATTTATTTGTGTAAACATGACATAAAGTCAGAATGGTATGCATAGCAATAGTGAATAATATATCATTTCAATTAATACAGAAATTTCAATCAGATGTCTAAAAGTACAGTTGAATAATCTTGAAATTATTATTAGATTGGTCAACTCTATGAATTAATACTAGGCCTACAATAATATACAAAATCTGAAACATTGTCTTGACTCAAGAGACACTAATGGATAAGAATTTGGGTGATTTTTTCCATTCTTTGATCAGGTATATCTGAAATAAGTGCGGTAACTATTATCAAAAGATTAATCAACATCTGTTGAGATTAATAGACTTCGTTCACACATAGGACGCAACACAACGCAAGGACGTAAACGCAGCACCATGCCACAGCACGCGAGTTGAAGTAAAATATGGGAGTCGATGACGCAAAAAGACACTATTTGACGCAACAGCGATGCTTTAATCTTATGCAAACTTAATTAGTTGTGTGCATGCTCAAACTGAGCAGTCGACACTGATCGGAACATGGCGGCATATTGAAAAGTGTCTTTTAACCTGACTTTCCTGTTTGCATAAATGTAGTAGTTTCCCAGAATGGATTACGCAAGAACACCGGAAGGTTGGTTGTTAAGTAGGTTACACCGTTTTCATTCGTTCAGTATCTAGGGTTTATTATTATTGGTTGGCCCTGTCTCTTATACACATCTAGATGTGTATAAGAGACAGGCAATTACTTGTATCTATAATTCTGTTTCTACAAGACTAATATTCTTAGAATCGAGATGAGGATTACTTGGCCACATCATTTTGAACAAAACACAAACAAAGATTAAAATTACGTGATGATGATGATGATGATTATAGTGACGATGATGATGACGATGTATTATGTAGGCCTATAAGAACGTTTAATATAATTATTTTCTATTATAAACAATGCTGTATTTAAGAAAGATTAATAATATAATTATTTTCTATTATAAACATAACCAATACTATAATTGTTGGCTACAGTATATACATAGATATGCCTCTTTTCATTTATTCGCAATTCTTAACTTTCCATCGACTTGCTCGATATTTCTGTCCATTTTATACTAATCATCATCATGGATCGCAACCAGTCCAGCCGGTTACATAATCAAGCAGTTGATGATTTTATATTATTATAATTTTATTATAAAGTACTGTATACCAATGCGAAACGAAACAGACGTGCATGTAGGCCTAAATGGTAAACAGGCAAGGGGAACTTTGACATTGGTCCTATTTGCGCTATATAAATCCATCTACTAGGCTATTATTAGTTTTATTTAAAAAGCCGGGCAGTGCCGGTCGTCGGCCGATGCGATTCTATGTAGAACGCAACCCAACGACGCGCACGCAACGGATCGTTTTAGGTTTTAGTGACAATCCGTTCAGACTGCCATAGAAAATCAGCAAACGGCATCGCGCCGCCTAGCGCTCACAGGGAGGGAGTAAAGCCTTGTTCGCACTGGATTTAAAAAATGGTAAATTTAACTAGGGTAACTTTAACCAAAGTCATGGGTACATTTCACCATTGTTCGCACTTGGATTATTCACGCGGTTAGTTTTAACAAGATTTAACCGTGTGTATAAAAAAATATTATTGAGGGCGCTAGTTTGTGACTTCAACTTCCGGTTTTGTTCGAGCGGTGTCAACATGGAAGAAGTTTTAACCGTGTTGCACGTTCGGATTGGACTTCTTGACCAGCGTGGTTAGTTTAACCGAGACCGTGGTAAGTTTCACATGGCAGGCTGAGGTCGGTAAATTTAACCATTCGGCTTGGTTAATTTAACCCTGAGGGAATTGTAACCGACGTTCGGATTAGATTTTTTTTGGTCAATTTAGCCAGTGACTCGGTTAATTTGACCAAATTAAGTCCAGTGCGATAGGGGCTTAAGAGATGGATTCGTCGTGCGACAGTCGTAACTTCGTACAGTGCAGTGACAGCCCGGCTTCACAGTTTGGATCCTACACTTTGCTTTCACTCGATTCGGCAGCCTTTCTCATTGGCATGTATCCGTTTCGATCTATCGGCGGTATGTTAGTGCTGTTTGTTTTTGGTGTAAATGTATGAAAGGACAGTTCTCTCGTACTAAGACGCAGCAAACGTGGGCATCCCACACGGTAACGCCTCATTCTCTTACAGATTACCAGCAATTCCTTCCTGAATGCTGGGTTCAAAATGAAGAAGATAAACGTGCTGATAACACTGTTCATCATCGCAATACTCTCCACGACGTAAAACGCAGTCAGCTCACCGGAAAAAAACTCACCCTCTATCCCGTAGTGGTGAGTAATATGTTGCATAAGATTATACACGTAGTATGGGCCCCAGCAAATACCAAAAGCCAGCACAACGGTAATCAACATCGGTATGGTCTTCTGTTTTCGGACATTCGTAATTTCTTGTTGGCGCTCTGTTGTCACGTGCCCAGGAGGCGCTCTGTGATACCACAACTGTATCCCAATACGCACGTAAACAAACGACATGATTGTCATTGGCAGGATATACATCAGTACAGTAATACATGTTATATAGATGAGGGCGATATTTTTATCGGTCCAGAATTCTGCGCAATACGTGATGACCTTGTTGTCTCGACTACAGTCAGTACTTGAAATTGTATGCGTGAATAGCGGCGTCGGTAAGCATATCAAAATAGCGAAAACCCAGATGACGAGAATGATTGCAGTCAGTATTGGCTTCGTCATTCGTGGCTCCAACGGATGAAAAATACCCTGATATCTGAAAAATAACAAAAACAATATCTAATTATAATTACAGTATTATATTATGTGGATCATTAGTTGCTAGTCTATACGCCTAGCCTAAACACAGGGGCGGCGCCAGGGTGGGGGGGGGGAAGACAAGGGGATAATTCCCCATCGGTCTGGTCAAGCACCACTCCCTCCCATCGCTGGCCCGTAGCCAGGGGGGGGGGGTTATGGTTCGGGCGAACCCCCCTTTTCTAGCGAACCCCCTAGAATTTTTGAATGAGTCCTCCCACTCGGACAGAATGTCTGTTTTTAACTTAGGCCCTACCCAGCATTAAAAATCAAAATTTAGCACCTAATTCATTATTTGGTCATCCGTTTTTAAATTGTAGCAATTGATACATAGAATATCTCAGCTTTAGAAGTTCGGAGATTAAAATTGAACACAACTCCAGCAAACCATGACTTTACGATGGCTCACAGGAGGATGGCAAACATCGATAAAAACCCGGCTGCCGTCTCAACTTTCACTGGCCTTTGGCTGAATGTTTGTAAGAAATGTACCAACCGGTAACGAAACCGGTCGCCGTCTACCTATGAGTAAATGGTGCCACCAAACGAAGCTAAAGTTTTGCGACGTAATCCACCAAATGCAGATAAAGTTTTGCGACTTAATCACCTGATTGTGGATTGTGTGGTTAGTAAATTCCATAGCCACACTGTCCATAGCGCACGCTAAACTATGTGCTGATGGAGCATTTTTGGGAAATTGAATCTCCTTTTTTCCATCCCAAACAAAATATTTTTAATAAATGAACATGGTCTATCTCAGTCATCTAGCCAGTCACAAAATTAGGCTAGGAAGTTTGTTTTCAACAGCAGACACACACAACAGAACGGAGTGCGTCAATCGGAGTTTTTTAATTTTTAGTGGGTTACTGATTACAAAATCAATTTAGCTTAGCCTAGATGTTGACTAGCTTGGTTCGCTCCTCGTTCATTTAGAGACAGAATTATACCCCGATGACAACAAGCTAGTGTAGGCCTAGGCCTAAGTAGAGTAGGACGTACTACTAGGCCTAGGCTTTTGTTGTAAAATTTAAAGTGCATTGTACAGGATGCGCCATAGGCCTATATTTAAAAAAAAAAATACATTTTGTTTATTATTATTGGTTGGCCTGAAACCTAGGCAGGCATGCCAGCTTTACCGTCGAAAGTCCTGAGATTCGAAGATGAAAATAGACGCGCTGAATTTCGTTTTTTTGTTTATGAAAGATAGAATTTATTTAACGTTTATCTATATAAAAACAAGATTAATATTGTATAAATTGTATTTTTAAAGATTCATATATAATTCATATTTCATTTGGTAGACAATAAATATTCAGTAAGATACACTAAAAACGATCATTAATTCTGAAATGTGCATCAAATCTCAGCTATTATTAATCAGTATGTATTATGTTAAAGTCTTAAAATAATACAAATAATTGTAATTATTTCATTTCATTTATTTAATTGGTACAAACGGCCCAAAGGTTGCGTCAGCAACAGTGCGCCATAACACCTTGCAAGTGGTGCCCACAACCTTTGGAACAATTAAGAACTTAAAATTAAAGTTTAGGTTCCCATGATGTTAGATGACGTATTGAATATGATAATATATTTTTTACTCTGACTTCATTTAACGATGGCCCTGTCAGTAGTAATGACAATATTTGTAAATTTGTAGAATATATGTAGTAAAATAGTAGGCCTACTATTATTTTCAGTGTACAAAATGAGAGTAAATAAGAAGTAGTAGCACAAGAAGTATAGGAAGAGGAAGAAGAGGAAGAAGAAGAATAGCCTTTTTTTTATATAATAATAAATGAGTATATTGATATTGATTATGCGATGACGGTTTTTTTTTAAATGTTTTTCGGTGTGATTTACCGTAAACATGCCAATTCTCAGAAAATATTTTCTAATTATATTATATTACCACCTTTTTATTACATATATCTTTTTCAAAACATAACTGCTTTTATAACATTATATAGACCTATTAAACACAAAAAACTGCCCCGACCTCACCGTGGCCCTTAGGCAGGCCCCTGGATCCCACGCCCAGAGAACCCCCCCTTGAAATGACCTGGCTACGGGCCTGCATCGGCCAAAGCTCGTCGGCAGACGGACCAAAAAAAGGCCTAGTTTTCCCATCCCAGTAATGTACTGCGTACGGCAAGTCAAATCTGTCACAGCAATCGCTTCGACACCACCCTCAAACCCACACCCTACTCGGGCCTTCGGCCCCTCAGATAACGCTGCGCCCTATAGTTACACCCATAAATACTTAGGGCCCCCAGTCAGACGTCTTAGCCCCTCCCATAAATTATCATAGAGTAGTCCACACGTTGCCTAAACATGAGCGACAAAAAACGAGGTGGATATTAATTAACAACTTAATAAATTAGTAGAATACATAGCTTTCTTTTATGTTCCACATGAATACATATTTGATTTTTTTTTAATTTGAATGTGATTTTTGTGTTCAGAGAAAAGACTAGAAAGCATACATCCATGTATTTATAATTTACTGAGCACTATACTGTGCTGCAATAGCGCTCTCTAGTCACCATCTGAAAGTTTTTTGAGTTGCATTATAAATGGTAGATATTAATATTGTTTATTGAACCGAAAACCATAGATTGTGAGACATGAGGTGGTTTTGCATCTGCTTGTGCGCATATATATGCAAATAATATTAGTCATCGACTTCTATGCACAGATCATCATAGCTATACCTATATGTAGCCCTTCTTGTTCAATCAAATGAATAAATGGTCTCCAAATAAATTTATATTTACTCCGGAAATTTATTTAATCACCAATCTAGAAATCTATGTTCCGTCACTTCAATATACTTTACTTAGCCTAAATATTCCTTGGAATATTCGTATAATTAAATGTTTGCTATCTTATATCTATTAACATTTTAAGTTAGATAAGTCCTATCATAGCGTACGGTACTACTGTAGGCCTATTACAAGATACCGTGACGTCATAAATCCATTCAGTCGGCCCGGCGAATGCGACACCATAAAAGCGCTAACATAGGCTCTAATTGCAAACATAGGTATCACCCTGGATTATGTATTACTTGATTGAGGAATATCAATCACACCAGACTAAATAAATTTAGTTTTATAAAATAACATGTCTAGTGGTATAATAGAAAAATAGTAAACAGCAAATAATAATAATAATAATAATAATAATAATAATAATAATAATAATAATAATAATAATAATAATAATACGGTAATAACGACTAAAATACTAATACTAATAATTACAAACAACGAATATGGCTTTAAAATTTAGCGGTAAATTAATTAAACCATATAGAAAATAGAATTATGATTAAACTTAACAATTCAACATTGGTTATCAGCATAGCGTGATACAAGACTTCATAATAACAATATCACTTCTTTATTAATCGAAGTATTTATTTAGCTTATCTTATAGTAAAGATATATTTCGAAGTGATAATCATATAGGCCTACAATTATTAAAACGATAGTAATAATATTAAAATATCAAAATAGGACGATAGTCCATCATGGATATAACAATTAAAACGGAATTATAAAATGTAAAGTTAAATCGCAATACAGTACAACTATTCACTGGTATTCGTATAGCCTGGGTCACTGTCCCACTGCTTACAGTAGCCTATGCACAGTATAAATGTGTTTTGCCTAAAACGTCCTTCAACATTCCTTCGCTTGGCCTTTGGCCTAAACAAGGGGCTACTAAATGTATAACTAAAACACACTATAGTATTATACATCTATACTAATCCGTTTCGTCTAATAATAACATTAAAATACGTTTAATTAAACTAAAAGTAAAACAATAATTAAAATACAAATCTTACCTAAAAAGAGCCAGTCGTAGAGGTCGGATTAAATATAAAATTCGAATTAATAAACGATGGAAATTGAATAGAGTTCTTATCGATGCGCTGCAGATGTGAAAAGTAAGTAAGGAATGTGGCTACAGGTCCATGGGACCTTGGTGGTGGTCACTTAATTATCACTCTTAATGAGAAAAACAGTTAAATAATTACTTTAATGGAAGAGGGCTCTGTGTATACTGGTTCCCGTATTCATTGGGGTTACATATAGATAATTATTAATCATAATTTTATATTTTGATTAATGATTTATTATACATTGCTTATAATTAATAACTAGCGTAGTAAAAAAAAGCAAAACGTTTCATGGTTTCCGTTGATAATAGTATAACAACCAACTGTGTTCGACATGAATGATGGCGCAATGCTTGCGCAGACGATGCGTCGCGACATATTCCCAATGTGATTGTCACTTGCAGTTATAACTCCATCATTCATCACATACCAAGTCAATCAAGAGAAATGTATGTAGGATGCAATTACAGTTATCTGTTTCCCTTTTCTCCCGTTTAATAATTATACAGCTACAACGATATATCATATTTGACAACATTGACCACAAGAGTTTTCAATCAATATAACTTTAGAGAAAATTGGATTAATTTTTTGTGTATGTCAAATAGGCCTTTCAGTTTTTGATTATTATTGCTCACTTAAAGTGGATAGGCATATCTTCCCTTCCCCTCTCTTCCGTCTTCCGTTCTCCCTCCTTACCCCCTCCCCCCATTTAACTTCCCCGTTAACGACGGTAACAGTTACTTATTGCACATCAACTGTATATGCAAATAAGTCGAACTGAATATGCAAATATAGCCACACTGTGCATGTCACGTGGAATGTCTGGAATTGCGTTTTTTGTTTTTTTTTAATTAGACATATTTTGACGTTTCCGAAAATGTACGGATAGTTTGCCATATGAACCTTGTTTCTGAAACTATGTTACTGAAAGTATATTTTGTTCAGATTCAGATTTATTATATCAATTATTTAACAATAAATGAATTTTTTTCCTGGGTTTTATTCATAGAAATATTTAAGTACATAAGATCCATTATAACATTCTATAA